AACGGTAAAATCTTAACAATTTTAACAGATTTAATTTTTTCTCCTTTTCATTGTTAAATAGTTATTATTATCTATAAATAAAACTTTTATTTGTCAAAATATAATAAATAAAAATGCATTTATTCTTGTAGACATTAAATAAAGTCCCATTGAACCGTATTTTTAAAAGCAACACTACTGTATTGCTGGCAGTGTGTGTGCAAACCTATATATAATGATACATATCGTGAATCATAGAAACGTCTTTGAGAACCATGATATTGCTAAGTGTGTACATTTACCTGTGTATCTATCTGTTTATTTGAAAATTGTCAAATTTCTCAAAAAAAACTGGTACACTATTAAAAGCATATTTATGTATATGTACTTCCAGTCAGATCAGCGAGCTAAGTCAGAGCTTCTGAACTAAATTTGGCCATTGAAAATCTCACACTACAAAGAGCTTTTTGAAAAGAGATCTCTTTATTATCTCTATAGTTTCGCTTAGACAGCAATCAGATTAAATGGAAATAAATGAGACACTTTTTTTTCTCAGCGTCCTGAGACAAAAGACCTCAGTAACCTCACATATGTCTCATCAAGAGTTTCTGTAGATATCTCAAAAAAATATCTGCCAAGTTAATAATGGCAAGTTCAATCAAATATTTTACCAGGTTTACTATAAGCACTCTAATGTATATTTGAAAATATGTACAGTTTGCTTCAGCTATACTATCATGCCTAAGTATACTTGAAGAGATTTTCAGTAGAATATTTTGACATGATGGTTTAAGTACATGAAGAAAAGCACACTAGTGTAGTGTAGTTTTTTAGTGTAGAAACTGTATGTTAACATTTGTAAATAAGAAGTACACTAAAATATGAAATGCTAGTTTAAGCACTTAGAGAAAATTACACAGTGGACACATTTTTATATAGCATTTGTAAGTATATTTAAAGTACACTAGAGTGTTTTGGAAAATGCTAGTTTAAGTACTTGGAGAAAAGTACACTAATGTACTTTTTTATATGCTAGCATTTGTAAGTATAGTAGAACAGAAGTACACTAGGTGCTTAGTATTCTATTCTATTATTTACTGTCCACATTAAATTAGTCATGTTTTTATGAAAGCAAGCATTTGCAGGCAATTGTGAAACACACACACGCACACACACACACACACACACACACACACACACACACACGGCTGTTGTCCACTCAAATGAAAGACGCTGAGTGATTTTACTGGTCCTTTAAAAGACAAGGAACAGCAGCTGACCCAAACACACACTTCCACTTGGCCAAGTTTGGCTGAGGTAATCGCCATGACGACCTTGCGATTTGGCAATCAATAAGGGCGTTTAGAGGTGCCTTTCACACACCTAACTGTCTGTCACTGTGTGTTTACACACACACCAGTCTGTCCATGCGACCTCTCGGCTACAACTTTCAGTGAGTGAAAGTAACTAGGCCCAGCACTATTTATATCCAGAATATGCAATCCAATCATGTGTGTGTGTGTGTGTGTGTGTGTGTGTGTGTGTCAGCTCTTACTCACTCAAAAGGATATTAATGGAGGATCAATAGCTGTCTTCCTGCCATCGATCAGCTGCTTTACCCTCTGACTCGGCCTGTATCATGCCCTCTACAGGTCCATATTCATCCTTAATAGTATTATTCTTTCTAATTTTTTATCTATCAGTAATGCATGCACCTCTTAGCAATCACAGATCTAGTAGGATCTACTATGTGTAAGATTTCTGAATGTTGCACACAGCAAATGTAGACCTGCATCTTTTCTGACACACTAAAGTTGAACTTAATGGACAAAAAAATGACACTTAATACCATTCGCTAAGCCTTAGATCTAGCGTTATTCTATTTGCTTGCTAACCAACAAATCTAAATTAATAACAATGAACTATTAAACATTCAATGATATAAAAGTATACTGTATAAATAAGTTTACAAAGCTGTAAAGCCTAGTTTGTGGGTTAGCAAGGACATGCTATAACTGTGGAACTGTGGATTAGCAAGCTAGTGGTATGAAGCTGAATTTGTCCGTTAGCATGCTTGCAGAGGATGCATTTTACTTTAGCAGTAAATTGAAGTCAGCTTTGCCTCGGGTTCATCATGAATTTAACTGTTAAGCTAAGTAACCTATCAGTCTTGTTAATTCACTCCGTTGTAAATTTCTTGGCTTTTTTAGGATTTCAGGGTTTGTTTGGGTTTTTTCCCCCAGATACTGGGAATTAAGAGGGCTTTGGGGCAAGATGTGAATAAGCTTGAAGGCTTTCTCATTAGCCCTTAATTGGGCATGTTGCTATGGAAACAAAATTTGTTTAAAATGACCCTGTTGCTAATGTAAAAAATAATCATCCCAAGGTGCTCTGAGGCCCTGTGTGGAGTTACACTTACCACCCCGAAGTTTATTTATTTTTTTTTTCCAATAACAGCATGTCCTGAAGTGTTTTATTCCTGCTATAACACATCAATTACAATAATATTGGCAATAATTAAAATTTTAAAAAGTATTGATGAATGACATACTTTTTCACCATTTATAGTTACATTTAATGTTGTGGAACGTTCATGAGACAAGTTATTTCCTGTTACCACTTATGTTATAAACAGGCATAAAGATAGATTCTATTTTTTCTCTCTCTTTGAATTAATAAGACCAAAAAATTGAGGTTGTTACCAAGAAACCAGGAAGCACAAAGTCCTCAGTCCTGAAGACTCTACTGTCCTAGAAAACATACTGACTGCTACAAAGCGCTGAGACTGGAGACTCCTTCCATAAATGTTAAATAAACATCTCCTTACAGAAAACAATAACATATTAGAACAAGCATTAATATAAACCTATGATTTAGATTACAGCTGGTGCTACTGTCAGAGCTGCTGTTATAAAAAAAAATAATCAACACTTTACAACCAATCAGATTTGAGCATTCAACAGCTCTAGCATAATAATATAAGGTTTGGAGTAGCAAGCTAAAATTGTAAAAGTTATTTTTTCCATATGACAGATCTATCTTAAGAATGTGATATTTGTACAAATGACAGAACCTGAATCTACACTGATATCAGACTCTAAAGTTTTCCCTGTGAATGCAAGTTAAAATGTTCCTAGATTTAAAAAAACAACAACAAAAAAAAAACTGTACTGTAAAATGTTTGCACTCTTAAATACCATCTGTATCTTGTCATTTGCTCTACAGTGGTTACTTGCCCTTACACCTCATTCTGAACTTGCCTCCTTGCACATTACTGACTAATTACTACATGCACCTTCTCTATTTGCACTGAGCTGGCCTCTACTTTCTCTACCAAATATATACAGTATATACCTCATATCTCTGTACAATGCACCTTATATATTTGTACACCTAGTCATTTGCACTGAGCTGGTCTCTACTTTCTCTACCCCGTACCTTGCACATGTATATATACAGTATATATGACATATTGCTATTTGCGCTTCTGGTTAGATGCTAACCGCATTTCTTTGGCTATGTACTCGTACTCTGCCTAATGATAATAAAGTTGAATCTAATCTAATCTAAATATAACCTACATCAGTTCTGAAAAGTCTCTAGTCCCAACTAAGTAGTAACTGAGTCAATATCAGATTTTAGTTGTTAAGAGCTGACAACATTTACACTCTGAAGTGTATTGTACATGTACAATGTACAGTTTTTCTTCAATGAAGACATGAAAACCGTCCACTTAATAGTGTTTCCAATGTTCAGTCATGAATTACCCTTTTAAGCATTGGTGCATCTCTCATTTGTTGTGTTTTTAGTTCACTCCATCTGCTTTTGTTTTGGTTTAAGTCTTGTCTCCACCTCTGTCCTGTCATTGATATCCAATTGGATGGATATCCAATGGATATCCAATTATATCCATCTTTTCTGTGTTAAGCCTTTGATAAATTTGTCTATTTATACCATGCTGTGTCTTAGTCTCATTTGATTGCCGCTAACACCAGGATGAATTTACACATTTGTATCTCGTCTTTGTGAATGGCACGTTACTGTCGGCTCTCTAGTGCCTATTCCTTTGGAAGTGACGAATTCTGGAAAATAGCTTGCTTAACCTTTAACTCGAGCCTTTAACTTCCTTGTTCGCACTCCAGAAGGTGATCCATCACAGTCATCTCCAAAGCTTTTCCTTCTTTGTGAAAGTTATTTGAGCTTAACATTTTGATCATTCATTCATATGGGCTCTGTGACATCAGAACGAGCTTTCTTGCTGACGTTTTGAAGTTTGTTATAAATGCTTGACTACATGACGTGAAGATGAAGGCTAAATGTGGTTCTGCTCTGGAGCCTAGCATATGTTTCTGTCTAAATTGCTACCCTTCGCCCTTGGACATACTTTTCAGCCATTTATCAATGCAGCTCAACCTCTGCACATGGCAGAACGTCAGTGTAATGGGTTTTTTAAATGCTGAAAACCTTTTAGAGGTTACTATGAAAGTCCTTCATTTTGAACATAGTATATTATAATGTTAAACTTTGCCTTTTACTTTAATGGCTTTAATTATCATGAGTATGTTTATGCATTATCTATGCAGGCCGTATGCTAGCTGTTTGGTTAGCAAGAATTAGTACACCATCTTAATAAATTACTAAGCAGGTAAGAATTCTGTAATAAGAGTGTTGGATCAATATTTTATTTTTTATACCACAACATTGTTGAATTTTAAGGTGTGGATTAAGTTTCTATAACAGCAGCTCTGACAGTAGTTCTGGCTGCATGGCGAATCACAGGTTATTAATATTAATGCGTTCATTCTAATACTTTATAGTATACTTTCTATAGTGACAACTCATTCACGAGGATTTGTATGGCGGATTCTCCACATAATCTAAATGATAAAAGGATTTTAAAAAAATTTAATTTGTTATTTAACAAAGACAAACTTATAATCCTTCATATGGAATTCTTATTTACATATCTTATTTCTATTTTATTTATAAAAACCTTGATAAGGTTTCAAGGCGTCTAATGG